AATCAAGCCCCAAGTGACACAGACCCAGGGCAGCAGGGTATAAAAGTGATAAGAGAAGAACATATTTTTATCTTTGTGGGGTTCACTGCCAGCTTCTCAGAAATTTCTAGAGACAATAAAACCTTACTACCTTAACAGCCTTCACGATTTCTCTGAGCAAGAAAATGTCTGTTGTCTAGAACAAAAAGACAGAAGAAAGTCCCTGGGTAAGAAGGTTTCCTTGGAGGTCAGCTCCCGAGAAATAGGTAAAACATTAGCAGTTAAAATGAGGATCGCTTTGCTTTGTCTCCAGAAAAGAGAACGCGATGGGAAGACGATGGGCTATAGGCTAAGGAGTAGGAGCCAGGAGCAACAAAATGGAGACACAGCTGGGTGAGATGGCACGAGGGTAAGGAACTACTGTGGTCAGGCTGCGCTGAGTACCTTCTCAGGGTGATGCTGCTGAGGACCTTCCAAGGGTGATGATGCTCAGTACCTTTTTAGGGTGATCCCTGTTCATCCCAGGAATACCATCATTCAAAGATTCTTCTATTCTTCCAAAAAGAACAATAAGAAAGCCATATTTATTGGGAGACTATAGGGAAAAAAACTGGTTAGAAACAATGCAAAAGCCAGGAAATAGTGATGGCTACTATTTCCTATCTGAGATACCTTGAGGAGCCCTCCAATGGTCTTAATAAAGACTATGATGTTGATATTCATTCAACAGTTCTTTGTTGATAAAAAAAATATTGGCCAGAATCATTGTTTTATTGGTGTGGTCTTTTGGGTCCTTTGAGAGCCCAAAGAAAGATGCAACACATAGAATGTGCCCTGCTGTATGAATTGTGTGCTTTTCACATAGAATGTGCCCTGCCGTGTGAATTGTGTGCTTTTCACCGTTTTGCTCACTTATTTGAGCCTTGTTTGTCTCTAGAATACTCATCCAATAATACTCAACACAAATAATGTTGTCTGGACACTGCTAGAGGCATCGTGTCTGCCACAGCCAGAAAGGAGCAGAAGAGGCAGCCCAGGGATTCCAGTCACACAGTCCCCGCAGGTTCCAGACCTTACCGGGGCTTAGGAAGCAGGCACTCAAAACCTGGCTCACCTCCACTGGGGTGGCAATAGCACGGTGCTTGTTTTATATCTATATTTTTTTTATCATCATAGAAACTTCCTCCCAGAAGGTCAAGGATGTTTGCCATGCCTCTTGCACACTAATCTCTTCCTTCCTTGCTTTGTCTGTCCTCCGTGTCTCTCGCCAAAAGCATCATTAGGCAAACCAGAACAGAAGGTGGCCGGAACCTGGCCTCTCTGTCTGCCTCCCAGAGCTCCCCATCAGAGCGAGGGCCCCTCACTGAGTCTGGCATACCACACTCAGTCTGGAAAGGATGCATGCCATCTGCCCTAGACCCCTTTCAAAGGACTCTTTCCTCCTTGCTCGGTCTTATGGATGTGTAAGTCATGACCAGTTGGAAAAGAGGCAAGCTTGCCAACTTCAGCCTGGACAATAGAAGACCTAGGGTTGGAATAAAGCCTGACAGGATGGCGGGAGAGAGAAGGCAGATATAGGTCAGTGTCTGCTTTTTGGAATCAGAGGTAGACAGTACTGTGACCCTGGACAGCTGAGCACTTCACCCAGGCCTCTGACAAACACGTAACAGAAACGGGCAAGAACCAGACGTGCTAGGGCTCTTGGAAATCCTTGACTGCAGCATCCCGGATGTACAGTGGGGATGCTGAGCCTCAGAAAGAGCATGGTCTCGTGGGAGTAGCACAGTTAGGGCTGTGGGATCCTCCAGATCCTCCAACCACTCTAGAGTGACATGCCAAGGATAATCTTAAGATATGTATGTTGGTTCTAAGTGATGGTCTTGGGGAATCTGTCCCTCATTCCAAAGATCTTAACAGCAGAGCAGCTGTGGCTTCTAGTCAACACCATTTACCTCAAAATAACGTCCATGGTCCAGATATTTCCTAATCTCTTCCTTGAAATAAAATGCACTTGTCTAGTTTCATGCAATTCTATGCTTCTTGCAGCCATCAGAGGAAGGACTGACAGACAGAGGCCTTACAGCAAGTGTCAATGGTGCTATTAAATTGGTGCACAATGGTGGCTATGAAGAAATCCATCTAGTCACCAAACTAGGAGTTGAACCCCATGAACACCTTTCCAGATCAATGCTTGCCAAATTCTGAATGGAAGGGACCTAGCTGGATGGACTGGGACAGTGTCATTTGGTACAGGCATTCCAAATGTCGACATGGAAGACACTCCACCCTTCCAACTGCTCCCTCACAAACTTGCATCGTGACCTCCGGCTCCTTCTCACATGGATAGCCAGTTCCCTGTAACATGGCTTGTTCCGCTCCATAAGATAGCATGTAGCTCACTGCTCTAACCAATCGCAGCAAAGATAATGAAGGAGAACATCAGCTTCCCCTGCGCAGTTCTGAAGATCAACTGTCTGCAAGGATGCACTCCAGGGAGACCTGCAAAATAATGTCTTTGATTTTTCTGACTTCTAGAAGCCAACTTTTCCCCCTGGGTCACAATTCCTGTGTCACCAAGGCCCATAGTGCAGCATCTCCACTGCTTCTCCTGTTTTCGCTCTTCTTACCCCCAGTTGTATTGAGGTGTAATCAAAAAGGAAAAGTGTACGATATTTGCAATTAGGTGTGTCCTGTATAATGACTGCCACATCAAGCTAAGTGCAATGTCCACCACTTCTCTTATAGACGTTTCTGTGAAAGAAGAACCCTTAAGATCCACATTTTTTTTTCAAAATTCAAATATTTAACTAAGTCATTGTGGTAGTTATTAAATCTCCATAACTTGTACACTCTCCGCAGACAAAATTCTGTACCCTGGAGGAGACTTCTCATTTCTCTCACCTGAGACACCCGAATAGGTATATCGCTAAATTCTGATCACTAAATTCTCCTGTTTCTGAGTTTATCAACTTTAGGCTCCACAGAGAAGCAAGACCATGTGGCTCTGTCCTTCTGTGTCATAGCTGGATTGTGTCCCTTAGTAAAATGTCCCCCAGGCCTATCCTCAGTGTTTCAAATGACAAGATTTCTTTTGTTTTTAGGATTCCATCCCATTCCTCTCTCTGTCTCTCTCTGTGTCTCTGTCTTTCTGTATGTTTGTCTCTCCATGAGTCTGTCTCTGTCTCTCCTTCTTTCCTCCCTTCCTATGTCATCTCTTTCTTCCGCTGATGACGTCTTCATCCTGCTTCATCCTGCCCACCATAAGTCACTATGATCACCCTTGAGACCACATTACGTCCACCACAGCCCAGAAGAATTCCCTCAACTCGAGGTGTTTAATTTAATTGCATCTACAAAGTCTTGTTTACCTTACAGTTTCCAGGTGTCAGGACGCAGACATGTTTGGGGACAATTACTCAGCCCACTGCACAGGAACGTTCTTGGTTTTTTTTTTTTTTTTTTCAGCGCCTCCACAGACACTACCCTCCACGTCTTAGCCTTCATTGCAGTAGCCTCTGAACCAGAGCCCCTACCTTCCCGTCCTCCACGCTTATGAATGTAAGGCTGCCCATACCAGTTTTCTACTCAGAGCATTTTATGAGCTCCAAAGTCCCATGATTCAACTCCCTTCCCATGTCCTCCCGCTGCTCCTTCCTTTGATCCTCCACCTCCATCACACTGGTTCACCCCCAGTACTTGAACACGCCAGGTGACCTGGTGTCTCAGGGAGCCTGGGCTGCTGTTTCCTCTCCCAGCACACTGCCTCCACAGTACCCGTAGCTTTCCTTCTTACTACTTCCTCTACCTAGTTCCCCACCCCCATCACCCATTTTCATTCCCTTTCCTCTTCAGGTAGCAATTCCGACGTCACTGTCATAGCAGGACTGACTTTCACCAATCAAATGAAAATGACTCTTCCCATAGCACAGACGTCTCCCTATACGTCTTTCGTGGTACTTACCTGCTAGCATCTCCATCACCTGCTATTACAAGACAAGGTTGAACTATCTCCAATTCTCTGCCTCACTCTCCCATCCCACAATACACAAAGATGGGTACTGTGCCAGGACAGTACTTTCGCCTAACGTTCTCGCTGTAAAATCTCCACCCCTGAAAGTACCAAGAATGAATCAGCACAGACTCGGTAAGTAAACAAATGAAGCTCCTTAACCTCTCTAAATAGATGAATAAAGTCATTTCTTGTCACCTTCACTTCCACAACTTTAAAAGGGGGATGTTCCCATATAATTTGCCCGTTTTTCAGATATTTTAGCCATCCATGAGAGTCTCCTGTTCAGCTCCCAGCCCTGTGACTTCCTTCTGGGGAGTTGGTGAGATGCCGTACCTGCCCAACATCTGGAAGAAAAAAGCCACGCCACTCTACACTTCCGGCACACAACTGACGGACATGGAAGCTAGGATTGGCTAACCAGGTGCTCGTGCCCAGACTGCTGTGTGGATAGGAATGAAAAGGAGTGAAGTGGCTATGGGAATGGCCATTGGCATCCAAGAAGATGCTGTACAAGTCTATCAGTTATAGATGGAAGCAGCCCATAGTACCAGGTCCTCTACAGTCTTGACCTCTTAGCTTACCTTGGCTTCTGCCCATGGTTCACATCTTCTCCTGCCCTCTCTCTAATCAGTGAGCCTTCTGTCCCTCCCAATACTTTCCTCTGTTGTCCGGAGCTGGGATTCCCATGGAACACTTAACAGGAGCCCTATGATGGGTGCTAACATTGCTCCACACTGATTCCATCTGCCGCTGAATGCCTATCTTCCCATAGATATGATGTATACACTTGAGTGGAAAGGCAGAACCATGGCCTGATGGGAGCAGAATCACCCAAAACACACAGCAAACCTGACGTCATACACCCCCTGACTGACTGACCCAGAGTTCAGGAGTGTGCATTGGGTTGAGACCATTGTCCAGTGCAGTTGACTCCCTGCAAGTCAGAACAGGGCTGTCCCTCCCAGCCGATCACACTGCTGTCCAGCCCTCCCTCCCCCATCCTGCTTACCCTCCTTCTGGAAGGGCGGTGTTTCAGAGCATGTCCTCAACACATGTGACCCACTCTTGGGCTCTGCTCTTAGGGAATCCAAAACAAAACAGACCTTGATGAATAACCGTATGATTGGAAGTGAAGTATTTATTTCAAAATCACATCTGTGCCTGGCAAGTTGAAGTGAAACTCGGTGAGTAATGATGGTTTGTGACCTTCCAGGAACTGCAAACCGTATGTGACACAATCCCCAACACCATCCATCTGGGACAGTGACAGCCAGGAAACATTTTCCTCAAGACCAAAGTTCTTTCTCTCTATGTATTTTATGTTTCCTCATACTTTTGTTCCTGTACCACAGCCATAAGGTAGCTATGGAAACAGCACTGAAAAGCAACTCTGCCTGTTCCTGGCTTTTTTGTGTCACCAGTGGGAACACCCTGAGTGGACAATGTGACTCCTGCACCATTACCTCCTGTAGGAAGTGAGAACCACAGTCTGCTTAGCAATCGCCACGTTTAGGGGCTGCAGAGATGGCTCAGTGGTTAGTGTGTGCTGCTCTCTCAGTACCCCCAATTCAGTTCCCAACACACATCAGGCATCTCACACTGCTACCCCAGCTCTAGGAAAATCCTATGTCTCCTGTCTCCATGGGTGAGCACACGTGTGCACGCACACACATACACACACAATTAATTGAAAATAAGATAAATCTTAAAACAGAAAGAAATGGCCACATTAATATGTTAAAAGATATTCCTAAAGCAGAATGCCCGTATGCCACTGACTGCCAAACAAGGGACTCAGCAACTCCGATGTGACTTGAAGGCACTGGCACAGTAGGGGGTATATCTACTTCTTGATGTAGAATAAAAGATGCAGCTTGCTGGTACAAAAAGAAAAGAATAGATTCTAAGTGAAACAGAAACTTACGGAGCAACTGAGTAACGCTGAAGATGAAACGCAGAAGCAAGAGCTCGGGCTCCGGCTGGCTCAGTGGGTAAGGGCACTGTTGACCAGAGCCTGATCCCTGAAACCCATAGGGAGTTGATTTTTGGGGGGCCACCAATCAACTCCCAAATAAAGACATGGAGAATTATTATTAATTTTGACTGCTCAGCCTTAGCTAAGGCCTGTCCCACTAGTTTTTTAAACTTTATTGTACCTGTTTCTATTCATCTTTGCTTTGCCTCAGGACTTTTTACCTTTCCTTCACTCTGTACGTCCCACTTTCCTGCTTCCTCCGTGTCTGTCTGGCTGGCTGACCCCTGGCTGTCTCCCTGCTGTTTCTTTTTCTTTCTTCCCCTGGGCCTGAATTCCTCCTCCTACTTACTCTCCTTGTCTGGAAGTCCCACCTATATCTCCTTCTCCACTTTTGGCCAGTCAGTTTTATATTAGACGAATCATGTGTCTCCGGCAGGCAAGGCAAAACAGCTTTGCATAATTAAACAAATGCAACACATCTCTACATAGTTACACAAACATTCTGAAGCAGAAGCAAATGCAATAGAACCATACATAGTTAAACATCTTTGCATAGTTAAATACTCCACAACACCAATATAAAGGTGTGGAAAGCAAACCAGTCCCACAAACTTGTCCTCCCCCCTTAAACACGTGTACCATAGAAGACACATGCCCCCACATATATCATACACACAACAAAAACAAAATAATAGCAACAACAATAATTTTACAAAAAGAACAGGAGGCTGGCCTTGATCCCCTTCAACAGAGAACATAGTGAGACAAACACATCTGTTTGTGCCAGATTACACTCCCCTTCTAGAGAAGGATGCTGGGAGATTGGTGAGCAAGACTTATGGGGGTCCTGGTGAAGCCGAAGGGGCCCATTTCCACATCTATGTGCATCCTAGGAACAAATTCTCCATTCCTTGGAGTCAACGGGTTTCTCTTTCTTACAACCAAAGTAGCACAACAGCATCAGTGACTAAAGACGACACTATGTCCTATTCCTCATCCCTTTGCCACCCAGAGACTCTGCATATTTGGAGTGAGACTGGAGTGTCTAGGGAGCATCTTTGGTGTCCTTACTGCACATTTGCTGCTGAAGTGAGAAGACAGTAGCCGGGGTATCAGCTACATCTCGCCACTTGCTGGGTTTTCCCCAAACTGGAGTCACAAGGGCCACACACTTCCGGGGTCTGCGTAAATGTGAGTTCTTCACTTGCGCTTCCATAGGTTGCACTTACCATTGGTTGAAGATGACTAAGCAATTTTAATCAGCCATCAAAGTTTGGCCATTTTCGTGAAATACTTGAGACCAAACCAATAAAAAATAATTCAAGGCATTGTCAGCAATTTAAGATTCTAGAAAATCAAGTCAAGCCCCTATTCACAGACAGGATGACTGAGGTCTCGATCCCAGCACATTCCTGGGACAGGCAAGCAGAGCTGTCTAGAGATGACCGAACACTGTCCATCTCTTTATTCACATCTGTCCATCTGTCCTCAGGGAGCTTCACAGAGAAGTGAACAGCTGCAGCAGGAGGTGAGGAGCCCACGCCCGTGAACCTGTCCACCTCAGCGACACTCACCTGAATCATTCCAGGGTGTTATTTACAGAGCCCAAACATCTCCGCTGTTTAAAGTGACCCTTGTAAGTGAAAAGCCATAGAAAAGACAATTGGTCATATATGGTGGGCCAGGACACAGGGCAATCACTTTGCTTTCCTTGCTCCAAAGAGTTCGGTTTGCTGAAGGGAGGCAGGCACGAAAATAAAGAGCTATAGAACAGACCAGAGTAACAGAACAGGAGACTCTCTAAGTCATCGAAAGCAGGAAGCTGTATTACATTTCCGTCTCCACCAGTGAAGGCTAGAGCAGCCCCAAAGCATTAGCTGTAAAGTGTGATATTCACTTGCTTAATGTTTATTGAACTTGGCAGCAGCCATATAAAAGAACACTGGGCTAGGAGCTCTCCGGGAAATAGCAATGAACCTACAGGGAGATTCACTGTCAAAGATTCGGAGTGGGTTGAAGATCCACTTCCACAGCGTGGAAACCACTGGGCGTGCACCAAAGCGTGCACCAGGAAAAGTCACTGAATGAGTTAGCATCTCTGTGTGAGGGCCGCCAAGGAAAAGCTGGGGGCCGGGTGAGAAGAGGTGGCAGATAGTGGCCAGATGGCAAGAAGGAGGAAGTTCCGGACACAGCCTTGAAACAGAGAAGCTATGTGGGAAAGTGAGAGCAAACTGACCCTGCTGTGCTGAGAGAGTGGGCCAAGCGTGAGTAAAGACAAGGAAAAGGAGGGAGCATCGGAGGGAAGACTGCTTGGTGCGTGGGAACCGGTGCTTCGCGTCAGGAAGTGCGTGCGGGAAGAAAATCTTCTCTGCCGTCAGGAAGCTGCTTACTCCTGGACGAGTATCAGCCTGAAATGTCTCACCTGTGGCAAAGGCCGTGCAGCAGCCACATGCCGTCACAAAAGAGAAACTGCTGCAAATTGGGGTCGTGCAGTCACAGCGGTCTGCTCAGGAGTCCTGACCAAGTGCCGTTCTTAGACGGAACACAGCAGGGAGCGCTTCTCAGGACTGCGTCACAGACAGTCTGTGGGTTGGGGAGGACACAGGCTTCAGATACTGACTATGAGTTGATACAAGGAGTGGCAGACAAAGGATGCTTAATAGAGGCTGAAGAGATGCATGATTGCCACCTTGCTCTCACAAAATAAAGCTAGAAGCTAGGGCTGGGGGCATACAACTTGTTTTTGGAAACTGAACAATAAAAATAAAGATTGACATTCAACTAAATATCTAGGATTGCTCTGGGAGAGGGGATAAGAAAAGATCTAGGAGCTGATTTACAAATATCCTATGCTGCAGACTGGACTTAGACTTGGTAACCACCGAGGGGATGATCATAGTAGGTCAGAGTTTCCTTCCCACAGCGGCGGGTATCACATGCCGAGCCACCAACTTGTCGTAGACTTCACATGCACCATAGACGAGGGACACGGCTTTGGAGTGACTGAGAACTCTAACTTCAATCATAGCCACTGCATTTGTACGTGTTTCAGAAAACGGGCTTCCATTGGCAAACATCTGGAAAGCTGATGTGTGGATGCTGGGAGCCCTCAGTTTGATCACCAAAACCGGAATCCATTAGCATCTTGCTTAATGCCCTGGAGCAAACCTTCTTAGGCATTTCAAGGCTCCCAGGGTCTGCCATTCCTGTTCTCTCAGCTCTTTATGGTGTCTTCCTACCCATACTCCTTACCAACAAGTCAGCTACTAGTGACACTCCCCAAATGCCTGGTATGGATGTTCTCTATGTGTAGAAGGAGCATCCTCTTTAACACAGTGGTACCTACAAGGGATGCTTCAAGACTCAACTGGAAGGGTCCACCTGTACGTTCAGAGATCTTATGCTCTGATGCCACCTTGCACCTTTTACTTAAAATGCCTGTTTTTTTTTTTTTTTTTTTTTTTTTTTACATTAGACCGTGAGTCCCTCAAGGCTGGGAACCCTATTTTTCCATTGTTGCTTTGCAAAGCCCTTTTCTAAGTGGAGGTTAATTCAAGCTGCAGTGACAGGCCGTGACCACCAGATGGTAGTGTGCGGACATTTTGTCCCTCACCCACCACGAGGGAGCAGAAGTGTTTGTAACTAGTTGCCTTTCATCTCTGGTATGGCAGATAGAAAGAAACCTTTCCTTTCGACCGAACAGTCAATCTCACCTCCCTGAGTTAGAATCACAGGGGGCCACTGTGTTCCCTGTTTTCTGAAAGCTGCCCCGGAGGCCCTGCTGTGTTCCATGATACAGGAACTTAAGTTTTCCCGGGGTTGATCTTCACAAGGACAACGTGACCATCTTCTCAGCAACCGGGACGAATGGCCACCAACACCCACGGATGGTCAGCGTCTGTCGAGGTCCCAGAACTTCCTGCCCACAGCCATCTGCCAGACCCACTCGGCAAGCAAAAGTCAGCCAAGTATCCACTACATACTTTTCTTTTCAATTCTGTTACTGTGTTTTTGAACTGACATGGGATAGGTATACACATTTTTTGAGGTTCAGCATGGGGGTAGACACAAAAATACGCTGTGTAATAATCAAGA